TGCCAGCTAGGAGCATGGCTGGGTTTGCTGAGGAGACCACTGAACAACTTCTGTCTTGCACTGGGAAGTGCCTCCCTTTTTCTACCAGGCCAACAACAGGAAGAGAAAGGGATGTTTTTTATACTTTAGGTGCCTGAATTGTTCCGATGACATTTAAATGCCAGTGCAAAAAAGAGGCTCTTTCTTACTAAAACTTGGGAGTCACCAAGGGAAGGCTGGATGTGGTCTAGTTGGAGGTGTCCCTGCCAATGCAGGGGGGTTGGAACTGGATGTTCTTTAAGTTCTCTTCCAACACCAGCCACCCTATGATTCTATGATCACAAGCTTCATGCCCAACCCACCACAACCCTCTGCTTGGACTTGGCAGCTGCTCTCCCTCTTGCTGGCTGGCAAGAAGATGAAGGCTCAGGGTTGAGATGGTATAGGCCACCTCCTTTGAGCATGGCCTCTCTGAGGGGGGATGCTGAGCAGTTGCACTGAAATGGCATGAGTGCTCCCACATCTCCCTGCAGTTTCTGCTGTGTGTCCAGAAAGGACTAAAAGCATCTGTGCAGCTGCCACCAAAGAGTTCATGCCTATATCAGTGCAGTATCTCAACTGCTGCATGCAGACTCTGTCATGTTATTTGGCAATGTAAGATAACTTCTGCATTGATAATGTGGCTCTCCTGGGGGCAGCCATTACTGTGTCACCTGCTGGAGGCTGTTTTGTAATGAAACTCTGTCCTGAGGGCCACAGTACACGTCTGTGTGGGAAAACAAGCACCACTGGGTCAGGCAGAGACCTTTGTGGATCAAGCCATCAGGTGAGAACATGCCTTGTTGGAAAATGCTTTGTGTTCCCTCCCAAGCCTTCACTATCCATAAAGACTCATATTGCTTCCTTAAAGAAGGAAGGTACCGTTAGCCCAGAGAGCTGAGTTACTTGGCCATACATACCGTGATGACAGCTGCAGCCACAAAGACTGACTCTCCATCCACCTGGACATCATCTCCAGAGTTCAGCTTCTCTTTCAGCTCCTTGCAAGTCTTGGCATTGGCAGAACGTCTGAAAATGCCCCTAGTGGAGGGACCTTCGTGGTACAGCAGCAGCAGCATATCCTAAGAGAAAGCCCTACTTGAGGTACTTGAGACTTGGTACTTCGTACTTGAGAGCCCAACACTTCACCCTGTTGGTTTTTCTATATTCTACCTCACATATTCTAATGTAATTAGCCTGTGACCTGGTCGGTACTGGGAACACAGCAGATATGCAAGAGATTTATCACAATTTGACCAAGGACAGAGCCTGTCAGAGAAGCTGCAGGCACAGCTCATGGGGGGCATGCTTGTCCTGTAGCAAGTGTGAGTTCAGTGGACTCTTGAAGTGATGAGGTCCTGGCTGTGCAGTATGGCACAGCCCACTGACAGTGCCCCTTGTCAGCTCGTGATCACCTGGAGGGAGATGCTCATGGAAACGAGAGGGACACCTATGTGTGAAGTGATATGGGCTGCCCAGGAGAGGGAAGTGCTCACCCTGGTTACTGAGCTAGGACTGAATTGCAGGCCAACCATGGTCTTCCCAATCCAATGCCCATCAACACCTCGAGTGGCTTTAAATTCTGGGCGCTTAGCGCAGTTAGGTCAGGACAAAGAGTGCAGGTTGCTCCTTACCATGATTGGCTTTGGGAGGCTCCCGTCAGGACACACTGAGGACAGGGAGAGGCCAAAGAGCTTCCGTGGGGCGGTGGGCGACTGCGAGGGGGACCTGCCCGCAGGGGGGCTGGTGCTGCGGCGCAGGGCCCAGTCGATCAGAGACTTCTTCCTCTTGGTGAGCTTCTGCAGCGACTCTGCAGGGAAGCATAGACCTTGGCTACACATCTCCTGTCCTTCCCACTGCCCAGGGAGTGAGCCACAGGGATCGCAGCTCCCAGCAAAGCGAGGACTTCCTACAGGAGCGTGGTTAATAACCGCAGCCTTGGTGGGGATGGTCAGATGGTCTGCTCTCTACAGCTCCCTGAAAGGAGGTTGTAGGGAGGTGGGTGTTGTGCTCTTCTCCCAGGTGAATAGCAACAGGACGAGAGGAAATGGGGTCAAGTTGCCCCAGGGGAGGTTTAGACTGGATATTAGGAAGAATTTCTTTACCCAAAGAGTGGTCAGGCCCTGGAACGGGCTGCCCAGGGACGTGGTGGAGTCACCATCCCTGGAGAGATTCCAGAAATGTGTAGATGTGGCACTTCAGGACATGCTCTGGTGGGCATGGGGCGGTGGTGTGCTGTTATTTGGTTGGTTTTGTTTTGTTTTCTCCCCCTGGGTGGTCAGTTGGACTCAGTGATCTTAGAGGTGTTTTCCAACTGTGACGGTTCCGTGGCACACAGCAACAAAACTGCTCGTTCACAGAATTACAGAATCATCAAGGTTGGAAAAGACCTTCAAGATCCTCAAGTCCAACCATCCACCTAACAACCTCTAACCACTAAACCATCTCCCTCAGCACATCATCTACCCTTTTTTTTAACACCTCCAGGGATGGTGCCTCCACCACCTCCCTGGGCAGCCTGTTCCAAGGCCTCATCACTCTTTCTGTGAAGAAATTTTTTCTGATATCTAATCTGAACCTCCTCTGGTGCAACTTGACCCCATTTCCTCTTGTCCCCACCCCCATCAGCACAACTCTAACTCCATCACTGCTCTTTGGGACTTGTGCAGTGTAAGAACAGCCTGCAAAGGAAAGCTGATCAAGGACTGAAAGCCAACTCTGAACATCTGCCCAGATAAATTTAGCACCTCTGCCATCTCCTCCTCTTTGCGTACACCCAGGTATGAGAGTGAGACACACATAAGGTAACACAAAGAGTCTGGTGCTGCCAAGGAGAGCAACAAAGCCTCTGCCTGGGCAGAATGTGCTCCTGCAGCCCCTACCTCTCCTCAGCTGAATGGGAGCTTGGAGCCTGGGCTTCAGGACAAACTGACACTGCTTCTCCTTTGGGAGCTGATCAAGGAAGGAAGCCTCTGTCCCATCAGCCAGGATGGTGCTGTTGTTGGTTCCTTGTTGCTGGTCAGCAGAGTCCTGGAGACAGGTCAAGGCGATGCTGAAGGGATGCTCGTGCCCTGTTGAGAAAAGAATTGTGTAAAGAGCAAGTAAAGGCACAGCTGTGTAAAAACAGCTCCGCATCTGGCAGGAGGAAGCAGCCACATCCAGTGGCTCCCACTGCAGCTGGATCTAAGCAACGTTGCTCAAACACCTGCCTGTGGACTGAAGAGGCCAAGGCACATACATACATACACACACACAATCATTACTTTACAAATAAGGTCATTCAGTTAAACCTGGCCAGCCACTCTTCACTGGCAGCTCTCCAGAACATTGCACTGTTAACTAGGTTTAAACACTTATTAATAGGGTTATAGGCCCCCCTGCACTAACAAGACACTGCAAGCATTGCTCTGTGTAGAAGCTGGCTTACTCTGACACTCCAGTATGCACTGGGTGAATACAAAGAGTAACCATCTGCCACAACAACTTGGAAACCACCAATAAACACCTACAAATAAAAATGTGCAGTCTAAAGGGCCTCTTACTATGAAAACAGGAGCAAACTTTGGAGCAAAATTATTTATTAAACCAATATGCATAAACTTGGAGAGCCTGGGGATGTATTTATTGAGAACACAATGTTAGTGCAGGGATTCCTTGTTCAACACAACTAAGCAGGGCAAAACAGTCTGAGCAATGGCTGCACCACTGACACCTCTGTCAGAGAAGCAAAGAGCCGGTCAAATGCATCCAAGAGCTTTGGTTTAGATGCTGGGTAAATCAGTGTTATCTCCTTGCTTCCTCTCTGGCAGATAATGCATTTAATTTTACATTTTGCTGTCTTGCACAGATTTGTTTGGAAAAGGGAGGTAAGTTTGAAGGTCTTCAAATATGTCACCATATGTTGACGAAATGTGGATCCTGAGACCATAAAAGCCAACTGACATCTCACATCAGCTTGATGTCCCATCAGCAACACCCCCACTACCATTGCTTTTCTAAATGAAGAATGCAATGTTTGAGGTATTTCTCTGCCAGACACACTGGTATTATTCATCACTTGTTCCTGTGGAGCTAGAAGTGAGGGAAAATGGGAGACCTCTTACCAATAAGAGGGTAAGGAGGGTCATCTTTTCCTGAGATCACCCAGAGATGGTGTTCACTTGTCGTGCCCTGGTAGTTGAGGGAAAAAGAAAAATATCAGGTGAAGGCAGCCAAGGTGAGGCCCACAAGGTGTCACCACACTTGGTTCAGGAGAAGAAAAGACTGATAGCCAGAAGGGTGTAAATTTGTGTGATGGTTTCCCAGAGTGTTTTAGCAAGATGATCCACAGCCTTCCTTGGTATTAAACTACTGGAACACTGTCTAAGCTACCTGTTAAACACTGGACTAGGAAAGGCTGGACCACTGCAATGGGCAAGGTTCAGCTGAGAACATCACCGATTTGTTCAGTATTTCAGAGCTATATTAATAAACCTTTGTCAAGCTTGCCTCAATCCTAACGCTGGATGGCAAACGCTTGGGTTCTCTGACATCCAAAGGGCTTCATTAAACAAGGTTTGAATTTAATGTAGGCATGTAAGCATGTCTGTGCTCCCAATACTTGTCACCCACATGAACAGATTGCTTCATCTTACAGTCCAGAGAGTATCAGTGCCTTACTGGCTGGCTACAGTAAATGTAGACTTCTTCATATCTGCCTTGTCCTGTAACTCATATGTTGCCAGCTTCCTCAGCTAAGATCTGGCAGACTAGGCAACTGCCACTTACAGGAAGTCCAACCTGCAGAAGGGTCTTCTTCATCACACTCTCTGCAGTTTCCACATTGGACACATCGACTGATGCCGTCTAGAAAGGAAAACAGAGAAAACAGAGGAGGCTAAGAAGAAGGCATGAAGTTTGGTTGCAGTTTCTTGCAGCTTGAAAATCTGAGGAAAATGTCTCTCATCTGCCTATTGACTGTTTTTTACTAAATGCTCACAGTCAGAAGAGCTGTGCTAATTTGAACTGCACTAAAATCACTGTTAATGGTTAGACACTATGAAAACCATTTTCTGCTAGTTCTTCTGTCAGGGGTTTATTGTACCATCCAAAAATTTTGTCCTGCAGGAATCCCAGGCAGTATGTGATGTTCAGCTGCTGTATTGGGTCACACCAGTGTTGCACTGAGTCTCCAGGAAGTAAATGTGACCCACCAAGCTTAGCACAAAGCCTAGAAATGTATGTGATTAATATGAAGAAAATGGGGCACATTCCAGTAAATTAATTCAGGAGACCAAACCAGAGGCATGATCAATATCCTCAACTTAATGCCCTGAAAATAGGAATGACCAGTCACTCAACCACAAACTGTCACCAATTAGGAACAGAAGCAGAAGGAAAAGAGAAAAGAAGCCAGAGCCCAATGATAATTTTAAGAATTAACCACTCTTCGGTTAGGGTCTGGCTACCTCCTGATTTCCCAAACCAAATCCCTCTGAGTGGGCTTCCAGTGGGAAGGATGCAGCTGCCCAGATGCACACCCTCTATAATCTCTATAACCTGTGGAACCTGAATTTTAAACAGGGACAGCAGCAGCATCCCCAGAGCCCTGTCTTCCCACCCCTACCCCACAGACCTCCATGTAGCATTGGCCTGATGAGCAGGTTCTTTACTTACAATAGAACAGTTGTCAGCATCCAGCACAAAGATTTGAAGGGTTAGATTCTTCAGATATTCATTCTGTTTTACCTCATTGATATGCCTGAAAGTCAAAGAAAAGAGGAGGGAATGATTTCCCAACTAAACTTGAGAAGGCCCCTAAGACTAGGATGCAAGGTACCTACTCCTTGGCACTATGATAAATATAGATTAATTACGACAGTAGCAATAACATGCCCTGTTCACAGTGTAGTCATGTAGCGATAGAATCACGGAATCATAAAATGCTTTGGGTTGGAAAGGACCTTAAAGATCATCGAGTTCCAACCCCCTGCATGGGCAGGGACACCTGCCAGCAGACCAGGCTGCTCCAAGCCCCATCCAACCTGCCCTTCAACACTGCCAGGGATGGGGCAGCCACAGCTTCCCTGGGCAACCTGGGCCAGGCTCTCATCACCCTCACACTGAAGAATTTCTTCCTGATGTCTAACCTAAATCTCATGTCTTCCAGCTTGAAACCATAACCCCTCATCCTATCATTACACATCCTGGTAAAAAGTCCCTCCCCAGCTTTCCTGGAGCCCCTTCAGGCACTGGAAGGTGCTTTAAGGTCTCCCTGGAGCCTTCTCCTCTCCAGGCTGAACACCCCAACTCTCAGCCTGTCTCCAGAGCAGAGCTGCTCCAGCCCTTGGATCATCTCCATGGCCTCCTCCAGACTCACTCCAAGAGCTCTATGTCCTTCCTGTGTTGAGGGCTCCAGAACTGGACACAGTTCTCCAGGTGGGGTCTCATGAGTGTGGAACAAAGGGGCAGGATCACCTCACTCAACCTGCTGGCCACACTTCGTTTGATGCAGCCCAGGACATGGTTGGTTTCTGGGCTGTCAGTGCACATTCCTGGCTCATGGTGAGTTTTTCATCAACCAACAACTGCAGGCCCTTCTCCTCAAGGCTGGTCTCAATCCATTCTTTGCCCAACCTATATTTGTGCTTGGGGTTGCCCCAGTCCAGATGCAGGACCCTGCACTTGGCCTTGTTGAACTTCATGAGGTTGGCACTGGCCACCTCTCCAGCCTGTCAAGGTCCCTCTGGATGGATCCCTTCCCTCTTGGGTGCCAACCACACCACACAGTTGGTGTTGTCAGCAAACTTGCTGAGGGGACACTCAGTCCCACTGTCCACATCACTTACATGCTCCTACTGGCTTGAGACTTTTATCTTGAGCACCCAGACTAGCAGCACCCCCATGGCAGTGCTGTAATGCAGATGGACATGTCTAGTGTAACACCTCCCAGCATGCTTAGGATCCTTACTGTCCTCCACAAATCAAGAGACCTTTTCCCCTCTCTGTACCTCCAGAAATACTTCTGACCAAGGGTTAGTGGAAACAATAACTAGAAATGTAACATGATGAAGAAACAACTGTAGCCTCTAGCTGCCAGGAAATACAAATTTCAGTTCCAATAAAAAAAATAATCTGAAGAATCAGTGACACGTGTGACATTTCCATAGACATCAGCAAAGCCAACCTCCAGCTCAAGAGGAAAAAAGCTGCTCCAATAATGTAATCTTCTAAAGGATTTTATCCTTCCTAGACTGTTAACACCAGCTTTGCTTTCACCCAGGGGCTTCTACATTCAGGTTTCAAAGGTGCGTTTTTTCAAACAGTAGCTAGACAATGTGCCCAATATCAGAGGGCAACGTGGTGCCTGGCATGACATACTCCTCTGAGAGTTGCAGAGGAGCCACCCAGGAGGAGGATGAAAGGAGGGTCACTTACCACAGCAGTGCAGACAGCCATTGCTCCTTCACATCAGCTGAGCTGAAGATAAAAGGGAGGCAGAGCATCAAACAAGAGCTGAGTGGGGAACAGCCTCTGGAAACTCTACCCAGTGTCATTTATATATAGATGTAAGTCAAAGTTCCTTCCTGCAAAGCCCTGGAACAAATCCTTTCCTGCCTCTGTCCTATTTTAACAAATAACAAAAATAACAAAAAAGATCCCAGCAACAAACTGGACTGTCTCCTGCCCAGGCTGGCGAGTGTTCAGATTCGGGACAAATATCTTGCTGTGATGCTGGAGTTAACTCATCTTGTGGGCCCTTATTATTTTTGCAGTGACCTTTAATTGCTATTTTCCTTCTCCTGTTTTTTCCTTCCAATATCTGCTGTTCCTGAAGCTTCTGTTGCCAACACGAGTTACCCAGGTCTCAGTGACATGAAGGAAGTGGAACTTTATTTGGACTAAGACACCAAGGGCTGCATGTCAGGGCATGAGTCCTGGTCAGGAATGCATCACCTGGGAGACACCATCCTGACCCATGGAAACCATGAGACAGACTGTGGGAAACCATGGTAGGGCTCCCATTTATTTTTCCACCAAGGCAGCTGCTCATCAGGCCAGATCAGCTGTTCCTCGCTGTGCTAGCAGGACCTCTGAGGACACAGTGAACCTGGAAGGCTGACCTCCTCACTTTGCAAAGGAGAGTGAGAAGCAGAGGTGCCTGAGTGACCTGATCTCACTGTGGATGTACCAGCTCTACGTTCAGTTTAGCCAGGCTAGACTGAGCTCTAGGTAATAAAAAGCTCACCTGCTTTTTGGTGAGCCTGCTTAGCTCAGGTGCAGTAGTGGGATAGTCTTTGAGGTGGCATTTGGAGGGGAATGGGCTAGTCTGTAGCCAGCTCCATGCTCCCCTTGCATTTCTGTTTTTGGGATTAGCAAGGGCTAAGCAAGCTCTGGAATGTGCAGCTTGTGCAAACCCATCTTAAAGAACCTTTCCATAGTCTGTTGCCATGGGCCTGGGACATCCTGGCAGACACCCACAGGAACCCAGGAACTGCCCAAGCCACACCAAGGGTGGATAAGGGGTTTAATCCTGGCACGAGGCCATCTGGCATTTTTCATTGACAAATCTAACCTGTCCTTTTCCTGAAAAATTCCCAGACTAGGGCTAATCTCCTACAGAAATGTCTGTGGATAGGTGCTGAAACAATGTGCTTGTATGATGGCACAAGCTGGCTTGCTATGGCAGATTTGGTTGTGATGTTCCAGGATGCTGTGAAACAGAGTTAGCCCTGCCTGGTCCTCTAAAAGGCTCTCAGGGACCAACCTTTAGGTATCTTTCTAAGATGACTGTCTCCCAACATCTTTTTACCATACTGTCTGAGGTGAGTGCAAGTCCTCTACTCAATGGGGAGAAGGGCTGTAGTAGAGCTCAGGGCCCTGCCTCAGTCAGAGATGTGGGCAGCTGCCAGGCTGCAGAGTCTGGTGTCTGATGAGATACCTGAAGGTGACAACATAGTTGGTGGTAGGCCAGCCGATGACAAATGAATTCTCAGAACTCATCTTTTTCTCTGTCACTTCGCTGAGACAGGTGCCTGTCCATACTTCACTCAGATGCACCTGCTTTTTCAGCTTCAGGCTGGAGGAGGATCTGCAATTCAAATTATGGATTTCTTAGGCCAGACCCTAATGTCTAGTCTTCCAGAGTCTGGTCATGTCACCTTCCAGTCATGCAGATGCAGTAACAGCAACAAGCCCCCTGCCAGAACCAAACTTCTGGGCATGTGGAGGTATGTTTTGGGGTTGGTGGCTGCAGTGAGACATCTGTGGCCTAGGGTGATGTGATTCACTAGAGCCACACAGAGGTAGATGGTGATTTAGGCTAATTACTGTCTGTGCTAATAACTGAAGCCACCTAAGCTCTTCATTTATGTGTGGCAGCAGTAGCCAGATCAAGACTCAGTTTTCTGTCCTTACTGCCAAGATCTTGCCCTCATCCCATTTAATGAAGAAGCCACATAAGGGAAAGGGAAAAAACAATTAAAACACCCTTTACCTTCAGGAAAATGGAGTGAAACATGAATACCAAGAAGAATTTCTGGAGGCAGAAGGGAGAGATGCCTCATTTTAGACCCATGTTTGTAAAGAGCTGTTTTGATGCCTGCTCCACAAATAGCTCAGAGCACAGCTTCAGCAGCACATGTTGGGGAGAAGGAGTGAGTGTGAACCCCTCTTACTTGGATTTGGCAATGACCAGCACATCGCTGAACAGGATCAGGTGTCTCTCCTGGGTCTGCAGGCCCATGGTCAGCTGCACCCGCTCATCCAGGATGTAAGTGGAGCCTGGGCTGCTGAACACTCCACTTGGCAGCCCATTGTCAAGGTGAGAACAGGAAAGGGCAGTTTCTCTGGAAGGGGAAGAAAAAGGACAAGACTTTCTCAGAAGATTCATTCACAAGGGTCTGTGACTGGCCACTGGTGGCTGTTTTGGGCCAGCCTGCAGCCCTGCTCTCCTCCCAGCACTTCCACTGTGGCCCTGCAGTGGCCCAGTGCACCTTGGGGGCATGGAATGCTGCCCGAATACCCACACCATACCAGGAGAGGCTGAGCTGCTGAAATGTTCATTTTCAGTCATTGCTTGTTCAGGTAAAACAGTTATTTTCAGCACATCCATGTGAGCTGTGACTGAGAGGGGGGGATGCAGTGCCAGGTGGCTCTGCCCAGCCTGGGCAGGGACCGACACGGCTCCCTGTGTCACCATCTAAACACAACTGCTTGTCAGTGAAGGGGCTGCAGCTTGGAGAAAGGAACTGCATGTACTCATCTAACTCCAGCTATCCTCCCCTGCTCCCCTGGCCGCAATCCAGCATCTTGTTTCTACTGAAACTGGTACAAGGGCCATCGCCACAGAACCCTCCAGTTTTTGGGTGCTGCAGCCATCGCTGGGATGGCACCGGGTCCTTTCTCTGTGCTTCCCCCAGCTGGGAGAGCTCCAGCAAGCCTTGAGCTCCCCATTGGCTTCTCAGCCTCCTCTCAGTCACAGGAACACCCACAATCCTGCATGCAGAAACTCCCTCTTCCCTCCTCACCACTCCACAGCCACCAGCAGGTGAATTCTCGACTTACACATCTGTTGTCTCTACCACTGAGAAGCTAAATGGCCTTTAAACTTGTTAGTAAAAGCTTTGGATGTGCATCAGTTGAGCAGTGGATTTCCTAGAGCTGGAGGAGCTGCACAGCTTTGTAAACGCAAAAAGAGGACAGCAAAAAAATAAAGCTCTCCAATACTCTGGTGGCCTAAGAAAAGATGGCATTGTACCAGTTCCTTCCATGGCAATCCATCATGAGAAACATTTCAAGCTTTCCTCCCTCACAAGGATATTCTCCAGCCAAATAAAGTCAAGAATTTGTTTCCCTTTGTTACTTTTTTTAGTGTTATTTACAAGAGGGTTTGGGGAATGACAAGGAAGCCACACAACTTGGTCAGAAGAGAAGCAAAGGGAAATCAGCCCTGTCCTTTATTTTAAATGATCATATGAGGCAGACCCCACACAGCCATTTCAGAAACGCAGGAGGTATCTATCACACCTGTGGTGTGATATAAAGGGGGTATTTTTCAGGAGAGCTGGTCCAGATCTAATGTCAATCAGTTCAGCTTTATAATCTCTTTCTTACAAAGAAAAAAAAATGAGCTAAACAAATCCCTCAGGAATTGCTATTGATAAGATTGCTATCAGAGCAAGGCAGAAAGGAGTGCAGCTCAGCCTGGAGAAGAGAAGGCTCTGGGGAGACCTTATAGTGGCCTTCCAGTATTTGAAGAGGGCTTTGGTCAGTACGGGCAGAAAGGTGGAAAAAGGAGTCAGAAAAGTTCTTCCTCTACCTGGAATGGTACCTTGACTTGCCAAGAGCTTTAGCAATGGTAGAAGGTGTAGATCGTCTTCTTTGGACAATGGGCTTCATCTTCTGCAAGACAAAAAGACATTCCAGTTAGCCTGGTCACCTGGGAAGCAGATTTGCTTATTGCACTCTCCCAGTTCTCTTTTTATCTAACACTGATGAAACCTCAGCACTGAGAGCCTTGATCTGGGCTTTCAGACACCTCCCTCCCCTTCCTTATTACTAAAAATTTGTCAACTCTCACATTTACGTGGGACACTTAAAACTCCCCTAACTTGAAATACATCCAGTTTTCACAGCCAAAATTCAAAGTAATGACACGAAATTAAGCAGAGAAAAAAACAACAAAAACACAAGCCAGAGGTCAGGAAAAACTTCCTACCATGGAAGTGCCATGGAAGAGTTTGTTAAGGAAAGGTATAAAAATCCAATGTAAAGCTAGACTGGACAAAGCTATGAACCACATATGATACTGTAGGGAGCCTTATTAGGGGCTGAAGAGATGGATGAGGTTATTTAGTAGATTTTTCTCTATATCCATTTTTCATGACTTACAGATTCAGCAAATCTGTAGGTTATTACTACTTACCAGGTAGTTTAATCTCAAGACACTTGTATCTTTTTTTTAGCAGCCACAGCCACCAAATCTCATAGGGCACAGAAAGGAAGTGGCTGCAGTGGTGAGACCTCTGAGTTAGACATGATGACCATCCAAGTCAAAATACACACATGAAGGTCACAGGTCTCCTTTTATTTGTTAAATAGAGAAAGGGAGAAAGATGATAGAGAGAAATCCATATATCAGTGGTTCTTGCTTACTAAGCATGGGGAAATCTGTCTCATTGCTTGTTTCTCATTTCAGCATTTGCCTGTATTAGAGCTCAAGGTATCAGGAAGTTTAGAGTGTGCCAAGAATTCTTGATCTTTTTACTTCTGAACACATCAAAATATGGAATCTCCAAAGAATAAAAGAAACCAGGATTGCTGGTTGAGAAGTGGTCCTACAGAGAAAGCCTGTTCCTTTTATTAACAATAGCCTTTCCAAAAATCTGCTGAATACAGAAACATTTGTTGCATGTGAGCTCCTCAGTCCCATCTCTGAGTACACAACACTGCCCCAGCTCAGTACCTTACAACCACATTACAACCACATCCTGCTGGTGTCAGAGGAAGAAGGTATTGCCCTCATTTCATTGATGTCAAGGCCAAAAGCAAGGTGATTAGAGGGAGTTTGGGTGCCTGGCCCTGACCTCCTGAGCAGAGGGGAAGGCTAAAGGGCTGGGTTGGGCACTGCTCCTGCTGGTTCTGCAGCAACGCAGGGGCTCAGCCTGCCTGGGGGGGCTGTCCCCAGGGATTTCTGTGAGGAAGCCCAGAAAAGAGAAAGAGTACAAGATCAGGTAACTCATGTTGGAGTGGGACTGCAAGCACCATTTCATAAAGCCATTTCTTAACCTATGGATATTCAGCTTTGCACCATCAGTTGTGCTCTCCAAATAGATTATTTGTGTACGTGTGTGTGCAGTCGGTGACAGAGAGATGGCAACTTTTCCTTCAGTCTCTGACATGACCTTGCCAAGCAAAGATCTATCTCCGGAAGCTTCACAGGGAGAACTAAATAAAAATAACATCAGCTAAAAAGTGTTTGTTTAAAAAAAAGTCTCCTTACTAAAACAGAACATCTGGCTTCCAGAGGTGCCTTAATAGGAGAACATGTTCCTACTAAACATAGTACAGCAAAGCATCTGTTGTGCAGCATCTCACAGCAGGAGGGAAGGGCAGGTGAGGGTAGTTGTGAAAAACCCCAGCCAGCTGTCCCCAGCCAAGGGCACCACTGGGGGAAACTTTGTGGTTCTGGTGTAGAAACATCTGGAATGGCATTGTATGAAAATCTTGCATGTGAGTATCTTCTGAGCCCAAGAATCCTATGGCACATAATAACCTCCCTGTACTTAGAACAATCATTTTGGCCATCCCAAAACTTGTCTCCTCCATGGTACAACATAATAAGGAGTACCAACAACACACATGATTTCAGTGTAGTGCAGGAGGACATTTTACTCAGAATTTCAGGGGAGATATCCAAGAGTCAGTGCTGGAGGATTATTTTTCCCAGCCATCAGGAATGGCTTCAGATTGTACCTGAATGGTGGCAGCAATTTCTTCCAAGAAACCTTGTCTTTGCCCATTCAGTGCACTTCTCCGGAGGAGCCTGAGGACCTGCTCACCAGCCCCACTTCCAGCAGTTGCTGGAGTACATGTGGAAGTCTCACAAGGACAGACTTTGGGTTTGCAGGGAAATGCTGTGACTACAGGACACAGGCATTCCCCATACTCACTGTCTCCAAATAAATTGCTGAAATCACCACTTGCTGAGAGGTCCTGTTGCCTGATTCCAAGCAGCCTTTTGGCAAACCAGAAAACTGCCTTCCAAGTCCTCAGCCAAAGCCTCTTAGACACAAGCCAGTCAAGTATCCTTAGCAGGACATCACTGAGATGACGGCCACAGGATCTCATGAGTGGCATCCTCCTGAGGGAATGGGACGTGGCTAGTTGGCTCCATTTCACAGTTAACATCATTTGTATATTTAATAGAGGAATAATGAATGGTTCTCCTTTGGTTTCAGTAGCCATGCAGGGTAAAACAGTTGCTCATGTCCTCCTTCCCTGCTTGGGAAAACTCAGCTGAACCCCATTTTTGACAGTTTTGGTTTGTATGGGCTGGCCCCTGTAAACAGTGTCTCCTTAAGATGCTGCTGGACATGGAGAGCAGCTCCCAACACCTGGAGTGTTCTGCCCGTGCCATGTGAAATGTGCTCTAAACCCTGCATGTTTCTAGGGGCTACAGTTTTACAGCTGCATTGCAATCCCCCCTCCCGTCTCACTATACAGAAGAACCAGGAGGTGATCCCTGCCCCAGGCAGGAGTTTCATGGAGTGGCCACAGCCCCTCGCCATTTGGCTGCCCTGAACCTGGGCTGGCAGAGCCTGGAGGGGCAGCTGGTGGTCCTACGCTCCTGCAGGCTCCTGCAGCCTTTCCCAGAGCATCCCTCGTGGATGAAGGGGAGACATTGCTCTTACTCCATGTTAGAGCTGGAGGAACTTCAGCTGCTCTGCTCACACTGCCCAGGCACCACAGTGGGAGCGGCCAGAGGGACACAGCAAGATCTCTGCAGTCTTTTGGTGCCATGGGAACAGGGATTCGTTTACCCAACACACTCAGGAAGTGCTGGAGCACTTGCAAGACTCCAGGCTGTGTTTGTACATGACTCATCCCAGAGCTGCTGAGTTTAGCTGTGTGTTTCTTGGCACCAGGCAGGCTCCGAGCCCAGTGCCCCTCATTCCAAACCCATGTATGGCCGACACTATCGGCTTGGCCGCCCAGCCCCAGGGGGAGGTTTCCCCCCCCAATCCCAGCGCTTGAAAGCTCTTCTTCAGAAAGCTAAAGTGAAAAAAATTCTTCAGGTAGTTGAACTGAAAAGTAATGACACCTTTATATGGGTGGGTTTTCCTGTTGCCAACAGCTGGTTCAGGCTTGTGGTGGTTGTGGCACCGCGATGCTGCTGTTTGGTTTAGTTCACGTTCATAAATGAAACCCACATTTTTTTTAACAGTGCAATTTTGCTGCAGAACATAACTGGAAATACTTGTTTCAGAAGCATTGATTAACTGTGTCTTCAAAAACCCCATGTGCTTTCTCTGCCTCCCGCACCTGCTGCCAGCTCGTGTCCCACACAGTGGGGTCCTGCCTGGTCAGACTCTCATCTCCGCAGGGAACATGTTCCCATCCTCACCAGCTGAAGGTGCTATGGAAGACTGAAGGTTCCAGAGGCCTGGACCACAGACCCTGGTGCTTCCAGACCAAATGTGGGAGGCAGACCCAGCCAAGGAGATGGTGGGCTTGGCCACCTGCAAGGCCAGGGCTGCCTAGATGCCCGAACAGCTGCATCCTGAGGGGTGACAGATCTACAAGACCTTGAGTTTCAGGGTCAACCCACATGACAGGGCTGCTGCCAAGCTGCAGACCTCGCAGCTGAGTGGGTAAGCTGGCATGGCTCGATGATGTTTTCCAATGGAAATGTGCCTGGTTTAAGATCCTGTGTGGCAGGAGGAGCTCTCTTCATTTTCTGCAGGACTCTGCCAAACAGTGTGTTTTGATAAAATGTTTGTTTTCAATTAAACTACATTTTCCTGGGGAAAAAAATACACTAGCAGAAGGCTCCTGGGTAGCTCTGCTTTGGCCATTGGGTATGTCATCACCTAAAGAGAGAATGAAAAGCCAGTCTGAAAACAAGCAGCAGTGCAGAAACAGCAGGATAAAGTTCTGCAGAGTCCCTGCCAAGGACTGGGCCAGCTAGAACATTCAAAACTAGCCCTGCAGTCCACAGTGGAAATGTCCTTCATCAGGAGACTGAACACCCAGGTTCTGGTATTCTTTTACATGGAACATTTGGCTGTCAGTCACTCTCCCCAGGTTAGACACACAGTCCCACTTTCTAGCTGTAAAGATGGTGAAACAGTCTCATCCAGTCCTTTAAAATAAAAATAAAACCCTTCAACATGGATTTTGAGTCAATTCCATGCTGACATTCATATCAGTTGGGGAGATTTGTGTTGTTAAAGGCACAGTCAGAGAGAGTAAAACATAGGCCACAATGTCTTTGATTATTTGGAGCATCACAAATTGTTCACAGCCAGTAGCACCAATATTATTCTCATTCTCGAATGGATCTTGTGAAACACTCTCTTCCTAGGAAAACTGTCATCCCAGGATCAGTATGTTGTGTCAGAGCAGATCACTGCTACTAAACAACTCATCCCAGAAAAGGAAAACTTTCCAGTGATGTACTGGAACAGAGCAAAAGTTATTGTGTAAATGTAGGACATGGTTATTTAGCTCCCAGGCAAGATGGAAATAAATAAATAAATAAATAATCACAGAAACACAGAATGGTCAGGGTTGGAAGTGACTTCTATAGACCTTTAATTCCAACCCGCCTGCCAGAGCAGGACCAAAAAACTAGGGCAGATCACTCAGAAAGGCATCCAGACAGTTCTTGAAAGTCT